ACAACAGTTACTACACCACGAGATGATTATCCATAGATTTTTATCGTGTATTTTTATCCTGTATTTTTATCCTGTATATTTATCGTATATATATTTTATTAATAAAGATTTTTGGTTAGAGGAACGTACAACGTATCACATGTTATTTTTTGTGTAATGTATATGTGTAATTTTTCCGTAATAATTTTCTTGGCATTTTCCGAGACCGAGCAATTGGAATCAGGTCCCGGAAATTTTTCTTGAAACGAATTTTTTTCACGGAGTCCTGTAATTTTATATGTATTTTTTATCGTATATTTACCGCATGTCCGGGCGCAGTAAGTTTGATCGTGACATTTTGTCACGATTTTGTACCACGTGTTATGCAATCCGAATATATCTTTGATTCTTTGCACCGCGTTTTTATCATCACAAAAAATGTCTTCCAGATGGTGCGCGTATTTCGACGAAACAAATCCTCAGGACTACCGGTTTCTTGATTTTTACGAGTATCGTTCGAAGCAAGTTGACTTCACCCTCTCTTTTCAAAAAGAGTCATACAAATTACAAGCAGATCTAGCTCTTCTCACAAAGGAGGGCTCACAAGAAATGAAAGAAGTTGCTAATCGTATGAAAAAAATTTTTAAGGTACACGCTCGATTTCATAAAATTGTTTTATTGCATATCTGATTAGTAAAGGGAGCCCCCATAGCTACGGTAACAATGGAATGCTGTTCACCTTATGGATGGAATGCCCGCTATGGGAAAACAGAACCCGTTTACACAACTACAACTACGGTGACAATGGAATGCTGTACACCTTATGGATGGAATGCCTGTTGTACTAAAGTACTAATTTCGCATAAACTAGTTAGGTCGTACTTTTATTAATATTATTAATTTCTTACTATTTTCGAGGACCATCGTGAAACTCTTCGCAATGTCGATGTTTTTTGGCAAAGAATTGAACTGAATATTGAGCTACAGGCTCAGCTACAGAATATAGAGGTTGAGGGTACTAGCTCGTTGATAAGCACCTCCGCAGAGACTCTTAAAACTGCTGTTGGAAACATTAATTGTACTGTTGAAAACATTAATAATACATTGGTATGAAATATTATTGGTAATAATATATTTTGTTTACTATACTAATATAATATTCACAGAAATTATCAGGTAACTCAACGCCCGGGCAAAAGCGAGCTTGCGAAAATGATACAGAACTGCCATCAACTCCTCCAAATAAGGTTAGTATATAACTTAAATTTATCTGATAAACATCTTTTAATCTTCTGACTTCCTTTCGGATGCATAGGTCAGATTGTTGGACACGGAATACAACAGTGATTTTGGACTCTGTAATGGGGAATCTTCCTCATCAGATTCTGAAATTGTGCCAAGATCACTTACAAATATCTTTCTAGAGGCAAAAAATTTTGGTGATGGCGATGGTGATGATGATAACGAATCTGTAGAAGTCAATGAACAAAGTAATCTTGGAAAACCTATTTCAGAGCCTTTGGATAATAATGAATATGGCTATGTGCCAAAACCCAGGATTACGAGAAATAAACCCAAATATATTCAGCATGACCTTGCACAAAAGTTGCTCACGGAT